AAGAGCCAGTTATTTGTGTGTCTGTCTGAGCCAAAACAAACATAAAGCCGTCCAGTCCTGATGAGATAAACAGTGTTTCAGCAGAGAGGCTCGGCCCTGACGTGGCTAATTTGCGTAATTAGACAGCGTTTGATTTATCGAGTGTGTTTCGAGCCTGGAGTGTTTTGCTTTGTCCTCTTGGTTTGGGTTTTGTTTTTACAGATGACTGATGGCTTATGGGTGGAGGACTGAGTTGGATTCTTTTTTCCGTGTTTGTTAGAGCCTGGACCGAGTGTGTTGTCAGTCTGGAGCAGAGCTGTGTGTGTTTGGAAACTGGGATCTCAGTGGGAGTTCCCTCTCTTTCACATGGCATGTCTCTTTATCGGCTCTCTCTTCGGTTCCTCTGTTAATGAAAGCAGATGCTCAGTAAATGGAGGTCAAAGGTCACTATTGTTCACTAGTATCAAATGGTTTTCTTTTTTTTCTCGAAGTCCACCCAGAATAAATCCAACCACGAGGTGTTTGTTTAGATCAGTCTGTGACCTGGATGTCGAGTAGTTTTATCTTTGAAATCATTTCTTATTCACTTTGTTTTTTGCTGATTTGATGGAGCTTTAATGATTCTCTAAAGTAAACTGAATTAAAACTGTTTAAAAAATCCCAACATTCCTCGGTCAGAGTTTTGGTTTGAGTGGGTGAGCAGCAGTGAAGTGTGTACTAGAAAGAACTGAATTCCTTCTGCCGTGACACGGATATTTATGCTGACACACACACACACACACACACACACTAGTGTGTGTGTGTGTGTGTGTGTGTATTTGTTCTCTACACTGGAAAGACTCCAACCAGCAGGTGTCTGACTCTTTATAGACGTCCACCTGGACAGTAGGAATTTTAACTAGAAGACTGACTAATCCTTACTGACCACCTCTCTTTGGTCCTGAATTATTATTATTTTGTTGCAAACTCATTTTTGAAGTCCGTCTTTTCTGGAGCTGCCAGTCAATAAGATTTTTTTTTTGTATTTGGTCAAATGACTTTTTTTTTTTTTTACTCTATGCTCGACTGATTAAATGGTCCAGTCCTTAGAAGGGGCTAATAGCTAGGACCCTGGTGTGTGTGGGGTTTGTGAAGTCATTGTGTATTTGTGTAAAAGTAACACTAAAAGAAACGTACAGAAGAAATCTGCTGCGGTCTGAAAAACTGTGTTGTTTCTCACAGTTCTCTCTCTTGACCTTTAAAGAACTAAAGCACAACCTTCA